ATTCCAGCTCCTTGTGACCTGCGGCAACGTATTGAAAACTTTCCTTAACGATTCTTGTATGGCAAAGTATTTTAAACATAACTAATCTGCAGTGAGGAGCACTGAGCGGTGGTTTGAACGGCCAGTTCGCGCCGTCCGGGCGGCGACTTCCGGGGCTCGCGCATAGGCCGCGCTCTCAGCACTGCGTTGCGACCCCCTGATAATGCCTACAATCCCAGGGAAGTCTGAAATTCGTTGGCAGTTCCTCTTGATGGTATTCCGCTCTTCTTCATTTGGCCATGTGACATAAGTATCAGCCATCTCCCGTAGTACTCCAATTATAAGGACATAGTGATCATGGACTTCTGATTTGCTAACAGCAAATCGAAGTGCAACACTCCTAAATGAGTCTGGAGTGGCCATAATCCATAAGACCATCAGAAGCTTGTGCGCTACTGGACGTTTCTCTCTAATCAGAAGATTGTTGTCAACTAAATAATTTCCAACTTCTTGTAATAATAACTGCAAAAATTCGTGAAAAGTTTGATAAAATCAAATAACAGTGCAGATAAAAGAGCAATTAATCATGATATAACAATTGCTGACCTCAAAGACTGGCTTATTGACTCGGAAATGCCACTGAAATGAAGGATCCCCCAAACGGCAAAACTCATTGATGTCAACAGTTATGTGCTCCCAAAGGGCCTCATCATCTTCATCTGAAACATCAATCACGAATGAATTATGCATTGGGCCTTAACCTTCAAGAATGGGGAAGAGATTAACCACAGTAGGTAAATATTTACCTTCCAAAAATTCCTCAACATAATACGCTACAAGGGCACCAACAACCCGGTTTAAGTCCATTTCCTTGGCTGAAAGCTAACGGTAAGCGTAATACCGATCAAACTTCAACAACAAACTACATACATAAACACGAAAAATGTGTTTGTTTATTTTGATTTTGATCGTCCGACTGATCAGTGCCTTCTGGATATCTTCGTGGTCGGCACTCTTGCGGCGCGACATACACGCATTCAGTGTAATGCCTCGTTCTCGGGAACCAGAAGTCCTCATCTAATATCAAAAAGTGGCCTAGAAAGCTTAAAGTCTAGGAAATAATCGGCTCGCTTCATGTGTGGGCCTAGGACGTCTCTAAATGCGAGAAATAACGGTTCAAAAACGGACTTCGCGCACTTGAGAGGGGAACCGTCTTTCGAAACCTCTTCACGTCAACATCTGGCATGAAAATAACAATATCTTTTCAGAATAATATTCCTTGCTCTTTCCCCTTTCCAACAATATGAGTGTTCATCTATTTTCGAGGTAACTAGGGGGTACGGCAGCAGATTTTATGTACATCTGCGCTCGGCGCCGCTCGCTCGCTCGATCGCTCGCTCGCTCCGCCGATCGTATTTTCCTTATCTGAACGCGCCCCTTAAGAGGATATACCCACTGCAGCGCGATTAGAGAGTTCGCTCGCTCGCTCGCTCCCCGAGCTGAGCCCCGCCTCCTTATTTCACTGTATGGTGGCTTTACTTTTCTCTTAAACACGCAATTCAGTTAAGATTTTCATTATTTCTTCACACTTTACAATTTTGTTCATTTTCAACATTCCCAAACAGTTAAAAGGGCTTTTAAGCGCTAAGTGAGCGAGCGAGCTCACTCGCGCGAGTGAGCTCTCTAATCGCGCTGCTGCTGGGATTTAGGATAAGGATTGAAAGGACGTGAACAGGGACACATAATGACATACCAAAGACATTGTTTTGAGAAGTCTTCGTAAAGACATAAAAAAGTAAGTGTGGCAAGACATGCCATAGACTAACTCAGCACTAGACTGTTTCAAGACATAACAAGGAAGTCCATGCAGACATACGGAAGACGTATGTAAACAACAGAAAGACGTTCTTAGACATACAAAAATGCATCACCAGTCCTGAAGACATGCCAAGGACATTTCAAAGACTGTGTCGTCGGACATCAGGACTTAAATATATGCCATAATATGGACACACAAAAGACACAATGACATTAAAAAGACCAAATGCAGACATAAAACCATGTCCTTTATATGTCAATCGCCTCATCAGGGGCGCCTTGACTAAATGTTCAATAAATTAATTTCCCGAGGTCTGAGGTCCAAACGGGTACCATGAGCGTGTTCAGCACACTTCACTTGACAGTTTAGTACGTAAGAACTGCACTCTGGGTGCATGGGTTGGACGTTGAACGACTTTAACCACAACTGTGTTCAAAGCCCGGGACTTTGGACTTTGCTGGCTTCTAGACGCCCTCACAGGCAATATTTTGACAATATCTCAACGTGAGAGTCTTCAGCACACTCTTCTGTACCGCTCCTGCAATTTTTGTTAATATACTTTACCTCTAAGTCAGGTTTTTCGTGGAAAAACCTCGCGAACAGCGAAAAACGGCCGGGCGTGTGCTGCGGATTGCCTACCCGGAGTCCCCGTAAGGCGCCATGTTAATTTTAACCCCTTATAACTTTTTTCCTAAGGGAATTTTTTTTTTTTTTTTTTGCCTCTGCGGGTCAAAACGTTTGTTTTGGTCCCAACTATCGATGTGCCGAGCGGTTTCGCATTTGGGCGATTTGCAGGGTTCGGCCTAATCTACTGACGTACACCGGCCACTAAGCACCTGTGTTGAGTATGGTAACTAGAAAGGATAGCTTAAATGGAGTACGTACTGCAGCGCCCGTGACCCCCCTCCTCAGAGTGCTTGACACGCTCTGCACGACGCGTCCTAACAACAACGTTCTATCTACAGCGCGTCATTTTCACAACGTCCTATCTACAGCGCGTCATTTTCACAATGTCCTATCTACAGCGCGTCATTTTCACAATGTCCTATCTACAGCGCGTCATTTTCACAATGTCCTATCTACAAAGGGTCGTTT